CGTCTCGTTAAGTTTCAGTTTCTCATCCGTTATTTTTTTTGAAAATTTGATCCTCTGATATTTTACGATCCTTAGCAGATCGGCAATGATTGCAAGCCATTGTTCACGTGAATGCTAATCACTCGAACAGGTTGAAACGATCGGGGACTCATATCTGTGCGTATCAGGCCTGCCACATCGCAATGGTGATGAGCACGGTCGTGTAATTGTGTTGATGTCAATTGAAATAATGAATTCCATCAAAAAACTTCGTATTCCTCATTTACCCGACGAACGAATAAGCCTTCGTATTGGGATGCACACCGGTCAGTTTAGTGGTGTCTTATTCACCACTGTATGAGTCCATTTTCAAGGCTACTGTTCAGTGTGGATTAATTTTTTACCCTGCGACTTCTTGTTGAAGGACCATGTGTGGCAGGGCAGGCGTTGTTGGTCTATCGATGCCGCGATATTGTTTATTCGGTGATTCTGTTAATACTGGAAGTCGTATGGAAAGCACCGGATCGGGTATATATTTCAGATATCACTTCCGCATATTACTCAAAGTCATTTCATTTTGATATCTTAGTATAGTTTATTTTTTTGTGTCTATGTGGCGTTTGACAATTGAACGTTTTTGTGTTGTATGCGGAGATGGATACGTAAACGTGTAAAATGCTTTATCGTCAATACTTTCTGCAGATATGCTCAGTTCAGTTCGGTTTCAGCTGGCAGGATACACCTATCTTCCGAAATGAATCACTTCTTGACCATTAAAATTGGTGGATTCAAGACTGAAAGTCGTGGAGAAATCCTAGTCAAAGTAATTTTTGCAGTTTATTTTCAAATTGTTCCGTAGTCAGTCATTGGATTTTTCAGTCACTTAATCTTCTTCCGTTCATCTCAATGAATTTCAGGGTAAAGAAGTTTTGGAGACATTTTGGCTGATCGGTCAAAAGTGAATATACGATGGAACAACTTACTGCATAATGAATGAATATTTTGATCCTTTGCTATATTTTCTTTTTGATCGAGATTCACATATGTGATGAACCAATCAAGTGAAAGCGTCATTATTCACGCGTATTCGCATAAAAGTTCACTGAATAAATCTTATCGATCATAACGTTGCATCCTTCATTGGTTTGACTGGTGTACCTTTGCCATGAAATGACTATCGTGTACCGTCAACTTAATTTCAAATTTGATTGTTGTCAGAGAGTTATTTTTCTAGCTCATGCAGGAAACACACTGATACCTAGAAGTGTCATTTCAGTGCACTCCTGCTTAAATCAAGGCTTTGACATCTTCTCATTAATTCAAAAGGCATTGCTGTCATGTTCCGAAGTTTTTGGAACACCTTTCGCAGAGTGAGTGTTCACTCTCATAATGATGTCATTTCCTAACTTTTAATCTATAGAGGTAACATCAGTGTTTTTCTAGAATCAAACAGAATCTGAGAGCGATATTTATTATGGAGTGCACTGAATACCTACTGCTTGCAACAGTACCAGACGATTACCTGTGTTGATAATCAACAGGGACAATGTTGTTAAAATGACAGAACTTGACTCATATGTAAGGTGGAGAATAACGCTCTTTGACGGACTTCGCGCGATCTTTCTACCGAATTTTCGATCATTTTGCTGCGAACTGATGCACACGGCTTCTAATCCTACACGTTTTTCAAATTTTCTTCACTATCTGGTTTCATTATTCATTAGTGGTAAATATCATCTCCGGTGAAGCGTTTGACGTCTGCCATGTGACCGTTTTTTGAATTCTTAATCAGTGGAACCTGATTGTGACAGATACATCTAGTGTTCGTCGGGGAACGGGATCCCCGTCGGGGACC